TAATAACCTTTAGTATAAAGTTTTTGTTTCACTATAGTTTTAAACCTCGTGAAAGGCAAATTTTGTATATCAACCGGAATCTTGTTATAGAAGCGTATACATTGCCCCTTAAATGATTGTTTGACTTTGTGAAGACGACTATCAAGAAAAGCTAGTTTATTTTTATTCCTCGTATTAATGTTATGTCTGTCACTATTTTTCATAAAGAAATTACTATTCCTTTTAACATAAATTATATTTTCATAAATGTATTGTGAGGCTAGTGTAAGAATGTTAATTTCCTTAAACTTATCTCTCGAAGATACTTTGGGGCCCAGATTGTAAATTGCCCTAACTGCACGTTTCTGCAGGACAAAGATTCTATTGATATCGGCGGCATTACCCCAAAGCAAAATGCCGTATGTCATTAGACTGTGTTGTTGTTTTGTAAATGTTTCCATGACCCAGTTTTAGTCTGACGTAACTACGAGACGCCAAGGTCTCATATCTTGCCGGTTTAGTCTTGGTCAAGACAAGACCAAAACCGACTGTAAGCAACACTATATGACTATTATTCATTTTTTCTCAGGGTGGTCTCGTCGTTACCCTGCAAACCGGTCAGACCTCAGTCTGTGGATCGTCGCTGCTCACCAACACCAGGGCTGTCACCGCAGCTCACTGCTGGAGGCACGGCGCGACCACAGCCAGCCAGTTGGTGGTGGTTTTGGGTTCCACAACTCTCTTCAGCGGCGGAACCAGGATTACCAGCACTAACGTTCAGGTAGATATGTTGAAAATAACTGACTTTAAAAAAAGGAGGATATTCTTATTTCGACTGTACTTTTTTGTTCGTCCCGGGAAGTACTGCCACCTTACCTAGTTCTGCCGCCAAGCAGTAACGTCAGTTACTTTTCCAGTTTTGAAAGGCATCTTTTCATAAATTGTTGTGCATCCATTTCAAACGGATCACTACGATCTAGCAATTGTCTTCTTGGAATTTTTTCCATATTATTATCGTGTGAAGCATCACTTTTGAGACACTCTAACATTTCGTATTTATCGCCCATGATGGCCTAAAAATAAAAATTTGTAATAATTATTTTACAACTTGTTGTGTGTATACAAGACACAGTAAACTGAATGGTTTATTGCTGTTAAAAAGTGACAGATCGAACGTGAATAAAATGTCAAAATAACTTTTTTCTGAGTGTTCGATCTTTGAATTAATAATTATAACAAACTAGTGGAGTAATTTCACAAAAAATAATTGAATATCAATTCAATAAAAATTTTATTAATACAGTGAATAGCGACATCTCTCGCCAGGACTGGTAGCTGTAAAGGTACTAACTGGGTGATAAATCTGTCATAGATTTCTCATAGATGGTGCTACGTCTAAAAAGTCGTTGAAAGACCAAGTTCAAAGACACGACGCAAGCACATAGAAAAATTCGTGAGGTCCGTGGGTTCGTTCCGTGGCTTACTTGGTATAGCGTCTGCCACGGTATGCTAGAAGGCGTCGAAGGATTTTTTTCTGAGTGTTCGATCTTTGTATTAATAATTATAACAAACTAGTGGAGTAATTTCACAAAAAATAATTGAATATCAATTCAATAAAAATTTAATTAATGTCAAAATAACGTTTGCATTGATCTACCAATTTGTAATACGACATTCCCAGCCAAACTTCAGCAAAAAACTGACTGGCTGGTATTACAAGTTTGTAATACGAAATTACAAGGCAGTTTAGTTTATGGCGTACACTGCGTGGAAATAAGAGTTCATATTAGGCCCCAGATCTTCTCTGAGTGACACTGCAACTGTAATGGATAGACGTTTAGTTTACGGTTGCGACTTGTTCGTCCCGTCACTTAATATTATTAAAAAAATGTTACGCGATAAGTGGGATTTGTGAACAGGTTGATGATTCTTTTGTCGTTGTTGGAAAGAGAATACCTCAATATTAGCTCCATATAAATTTGAAGAAAATATTTCACCTTTAAGGGTGGAAAACAAGGGGATGAATACGTATCCGAAATTTTTTTAAATAAAAAGTTACCATTACTTACCTATTATTATTTTATTCTATTCGGAAGCATCACTATCATCACAGTCCTTGGAAAACATGTGAAGTTTCCAACTCGCGCTAGACCAAGATGGTGGACTATGGTTTGCATAGCAAACTTCTTAGACAAGAATCGCGCCCAACAATCAACTTATGATACAATTTATTACAGGTTCACGCCAACTACAATCCTGGCAACTTGAACAATGATATCGCAATTATCGTCATCTCCCACGTAGGCTATACCAGTAAGTATATATCACATTTGTTTTTTATTATTAATGACATATATGCGCATAATGACGCATAATGACTAACTAAAAAGGACTAACATACTAAACATCTGAACCTTCGTCAATAAGGGTCATTATTATTATTATTAGGGTGGCACATCGAGTATATAACCAGAAATAGAGACGAAATGTCATTTAATTTGTTTAAAAACTATTCTGCCATATCATTACGGTGACAACTGCGCTCCGATAGGCTAGCCCTTCAAATCGACCAGTTTAACTAGAGTTTTGCTATAATGGACGAAATTGAAAAATTGCATGTTCAATATTTAATTACCGATGAAATGTGATTCCGTTTGTTTTGTAATTAGATGTTTTGCTGTTTTTCCTACACCACCGAATGGAACAGCCCCCCATATTTAGAGATATTATATTTATTATAATAAATACAGAATATTTTTGGAATATACGGAGACGTACACACAGGTCTGTTATTGGCGCTGTTGTATTTCAGCTTTCTAATTTGTGATTTCAGCGCAAACGAGAGTTGATATTTAAAAGTAGTTTAAGGCCCATTTGCCCGATGAGTTGCCAGAGATGGATGGCACTTATTTCGTCTCTATTTCTGGTTATGTGGGATGGCGTCATTCGAGGCCTATGCAGCGACCATCAACTGATCTATTGCGATCACCACTAATTACAGTACAGAGCCAAGGCCATAGTGGCATGTGCCTTCCCAGTACGGAGCTTCGTACGCCCATCAGGGGGTAGCATTGGGTCAGTATATGTACAGGAGTTTCATTCGCCTCGTGGCAGAATCTACATTCTCTATTCTCTATCTACCCAATATTTGACATCTGCTTGTCCAAGTCACAACGTCTTGTTAGGACTCTAGGGAACATTTTTTTTTTATTTCAAGGAAAATACACCAGATAACTTATTTACTAAAAGTCGCCAAACTGCCTTACAGTTTGTTGGCGACATGTGCGTTCCTACTTAATTATACCTCTTTACTATGTATTGTATAATATTACAGTATATTAAATGTACTTACTAAATAATATTTAATAATTATATTAAGAAGTACGCCTTTAACCTACATTTTAGTGCATATTTACTTAATTTTGTGTCTTTCCTTAGCCAATCAATATCGTTATATATTTTTAGAACTAAATAACGTGTACACCTTTTTCCATAATAGTTATTTGCTTTAAACTGCACTAGTTTACCCTGCCTTACTCTTTTTGTCGTGTACCTATCCTTACGCCTAATTTTATAATTATCATTATTGTAATTTGCCAACACTATCAAATATCTATTCTTTATTTCTATTGGCATGACCTTACAGTGCCTAAATAAGTCATTGCATTCTGTGCCATTGCATTTTTGTTTCACTTTTTTGCTTACTAACTGTTTTATCAGCCTAATTGGGAATTTTCTGATATCTTTTAGATAACTAGCAAAAGTTCGACCGTATACGTTTAATCCGTAGCTGATAAGCGAGTCTGCCAGTGCATTCTTTTATCTAATATATTATTTAAGTGGAAAACCTACCAAGTATTCTATTTAATTTCGTACAAACTTCAATAACATGCATTTTCCAATTAAAATTACGTTCTATAATTAGACCCAGATATTTAATGTTTTCAACGCATTCTAAATTAGCACAAGTACATCCTATTTTATTCTTTTGTAAACACTCATAATTGTGTCCAACTATTGATATATCATTGTACGCAACTTTCTTTGCCTGAACATTATACGGTGGGCATTTGGTAACATTATCGAAATCGTCTTGAATATGTTTTTGAATATCTGACGTATTTTTTGAAACACACGTCGTCTGCATACATTAACACATGACAATTTTTAACGACATTTGTTACGCTACTAACATGCATAATGTAAATTCTGATGCCATTTCTGTTCATAAGGGTTAAGTTGATCACCATTAGGATTAACTAAGTGCATAATTTTTCCTTCCAGCCAACATCAGAAACATCCCTCTTCCGACGGGTGCCCAGCTGAATAACAACTTCGCCGGCGTCACTGCCAGAGCAGCTGGATTCGGACTGCAAAGTGATGGTAAGTTAACTTTGCTGGATGCCTTTTTTCAATTAGTAATTCCGTGCAAAGAATCTGCAATTCCAGTGTTTGTTAAAACGCAGGAGTGTGACATCAGTACAGACTACTAAAACAACCGACCTCAAAAGTCATCCATCCCCTAGTTTTCCACCCTTAGAAGTGGAATATTTCTTTCAAATTGAAATGGGACCAGTACTGAGGTACCCTCTTTTGAACAAAAAAAGAATTACCCAAATCGGTTCACGTAACTTACACAAAAAAAGCAATCGAATTGAGAACCTCCTTTTTTTTGAAGTCGGTTAAAAGTAAGTATAGTTACTGTGCCCAACACAACATAAGTCAAACATATTAAGTCATAATAACATGCTCTAAATAGCAGTAACCAGGATACTCACATAAGCAAGCAAACAAGAATCCAATTATGCAGTTAATAATTATCTAAACGCGATCATAGTGGTTTAGATCTGTTTCTTCTTCTTATTTAAGAGTTTGCCTTGGCGATATCGGTGGAGAAACCACCAATCATTTTCTTTCTGCGCTCCAAAGTTGAGTTCCATATTATACGACAAAACACCACCTTTTTCCATTATATTTAAATAACATAATCTACTTCTTCCTCCGCCTGTCTTGCCATTCTTTTGTTCTTCTAAGGAAACTTTCGTGACGTATTTAATGCCCAATCATCTTTACCCTGCGGTCCTCCAGTATCTTTACTCACTCTATAATTTAACACCTCCACATTGAACGATAATGCTTTTTTCCAGGTGGCAGCATTGGTACCGGTCAAACACTTCATCAAGTAGATCTCCCAGTTATCACCAACGCAGTCTGCCAATCCACCTTCGGCTCCTCGGTTGTGGTACCCTCTACACTCTGCATCAGCGGTGCGAATGGCAGGAGCACCTGCGGTGGTGACTCTGGTGGTCCATTGGTCTACGGCAATATACTGGTATGAAGCCTATTCATGGTCTTGATGAATGTTGGTCGATGAAGCGAAAACTCAGATCTCGTCTTACAATTGATCAAATGCACGTAACCAATCCCGTTATCTGGGTTTCAGATTCCAAACCTTAAAATTATAGTGAAAATTGGTAATAACATTCTTTCTTTTTCCTAGATCGGTGTTACGTCCTTCGGCTCCGCCGCGGGTTGCCAGCGCGGCTTCCCCGCCGGTTTTGCCAGAGTGACCAGCTTCGCGGACTGGATTAACGCTCGTCTTTAAGTTTGCTTCTTTCTGTTTTAAAACTACAAATAATTCAATAAACAGTTGTTGCAATCGAAACATTATTTACTCTACTGCACGTACCATAACTCATCATCAACATCTATCCATAATGCTTCCAATTGCTGTGCTCCTCCAAGGAGTGGATTCAGGACACGGTCAGCCATGTTGGCAAAATGCGTGTTTGTTTTTTTGTGTGCAAGTGCGCATTTAACCTCCATCTCACCCGATCGCAATAAGATGAGTTCGACGACGGAGCACACCTAAATAACGCTTATTCACTTTCGCTTTGAAAAGGCCCAAGTGATAGCATTCAGGGAGCAAGTCTGCAGGCAGGGAATTCTACTCCATCGCCATCTCCATAAATGTGGAAACGTTACGCTTCGTGTAAATCCTTGGAATATCCACACCACCCCCGATAATGGAAAGGGGAAGGCGGAATTAAATCACACAATAGATTTTCAAGGCTGCAGCTGCACCTCACTAATTCCGAGTCACCTATAAGCCTTTCCGTATGTTTTTCAACTGAATCCAAGGTGGTGTTGGGACCTCGTATATTTTCCAAGGATTGTGAACCATCTCCGACAAGCAGTTTCATCTCGATATTTTCCTTTACCTATAAATTTATAATGAAATAAATTCATTATTATTCTCAGGCAGAATTTAAAATCACAGAAAATACTCCGTCCTTTTAGTTAAACATTACATTTAGTTACCATTAGAGCCCACAACACTCTAAGGATGTACCTAATAGGAAGCCCGTCGACTAGCGACCATTAACTTAAACTATAATAACGTTGACGGTAGTATTTGCCGCGAAGATTTTCTACATTAGTCATGATCGTGTTCACCAGCAAAAACCCAAAACCGAAACGGTCGCCATGACCGAACAAGTTCGGATAGATAAAGAGGAGACCCGTGCCCAGCAGTGGAACATATATCTTTAGTACTTACTTCGCTGGCTCTGCGCGACCCAAAATGTGTCTTGGCCTCCGAAACAAGTTAACGCCACTTTCTTCGCTTCTGTGGTGTCTCACGTGTGGTGCCCAATTATGATGGCTTGTAGTTCGCGAAGGTCCGCCTCCACGCCCTCGCTCCAGCGACACCTGCCAGTTTTTGCCCAGTAGGTTAACCAAGATAGATTAGATCTATTCACGTTCCGATCCTTTCCTATCCTTTCTAATTGGCCGAGTCAGCAAAGCCTGTGCTTGTGTGGGTTCGGCGATCATGTTTGGCTGGGCGACGAGGTCTTCCATTTCGACATTAGTCTGGATTCTGCAACTACCTATATGACTTTAGTACATGCTAAAATTTTAAAATAACTTATTTGGTTTAAATTTGTTTACCTTTATTCGGTAAATACATATAACATCCCATTTCACACATTTTGCCATTTCAAAAAAGCAATATGTAAAAAGAAAAGTCATTCAACATGCTGTGTAATCTACCACAAAAACACGTCGTAAAGCGGAGTTATAAATTTAATACACACATACAAACATTCGCACACTCTCACGTATGATTAACTTTTACATCACACTGCATTGCCAGAAAGCTTTCAGTTAAAAACTAAAAATAGTCAATGGTGAAATCACATTTAAAATATGTATAATGTTGATGGAAACGTTAAGAGAGATAGACCTTAACCAGGTCAGGGTAATAAGTGGCAAAAATAAACGAAAACGCAATTATGAATGTTTAAAACGAATTAAAGAGGTCCCAAGGCATTCCCTTGGCGCACACTATTGATATTTATTCTTTATTTTATTCTTTGCTTTAAAATAGTTTACGTGCAGCGTTTTTGCTTTTCCGGTACTTGATCCTGTCCAAAAATATAACAAATTCCATAATATTCTTGTTTGTTGAACATTACACGTGTTCTACAAAATCGAAGGCTTTCTATAGAAATATTAAATGTAGTTATCGTTACTATTTCCTATAAAAAAAATAAAATTAAAAATATTTTATTTCAGATAATTACAATCCATAGTTCATATTTCAAATTATATTATTATCATATTACTTATATTTTACATTTAAAAATTGAATTTACTAAAATCTACAGATGGTTCGTAACAAAATTACTTCTATTCTATTTCCTTAATGGCAGCCACTACGCAAAACAAAATTACTTATGACCTAAGTGTTAGTAATGACACGCAAGTGACAAGCGCCATTTATGTACGGACAGTCGAACCTGACCGCTACCATGCATAGGATGATGTTTGAGTTGACCTGTGCCCTGCTCACCAGAGCTGTGTAGAGCAGAGTTGTGTAGAAGCAGTCGACTTGCGCCGCTGCGAATATGCCCGAGGCGCTACTGTACCGGAGCAGCCCCATCAACACCCTAAACGCATTATTGTATTGAACGCGGAGGGTCAAATCGGCCAAATACAACTTTTGAAAATACTTCTCCCACAGGCTACACGTGAAGAAAGATGTACAGAAAGCCCTGAAAAGTGTAAGTTCAACTGCAGGAGAACTACGAGCAAACCTGGATTTATAACCATTGCAATCTTGGTAGTTTTCAGTAATTAGTATTGTACGGGTGGCATGGCTTACTGGGCTGCGATCGCTCACCATATGGTACTGGCAGAAAACCAGCCCTGTTTGACTTCTCTCCGTCTACAGTATTTATGCTGAGTCAGGGCTATTTCAGCACAAACTGTAGTGTGTAGGTACATTAAAATTTTATCAGTTGTTATAGTATTTGTTTGTTTTTCTCATAGTATTTGTTTTTCTCGCAATATGTGTTTTGTAGAAATGTGTATAAAATTGATAATAATAATAATAATAATAACGGTCACAATCAACATGGTCACAACAAGTATTTCTCCCGGCCCGGGAATCGAACCTGGGACCTCTGCGTGGCAGTCCGGCATGGTAACCGTTCGGCCACGGAGGCAGTTTTTAATGAATGTTCTATGTGATTTTATGTTATACTCTGTGAAGTGATTGTAAATGTTTTGTTTCTGTTTGTATTTGCGCTGAATAAACGTGTTATCTACCTATCTATCTAGCTAACTTTAATTCTTTAGTCAATTGTAAGAAGTATTTGTATGGCGTACATTTATGTCTCTCGTTAGTTTTGGGTGTAATTTGTGGTTGCCTATTTGTGTCTATGGCACCCGCGACACAGGGTTTCCCTAGTGCGGGGCTATGTTCAGTGTGTGCATTATTATTATTATTATTACTATTACTGTTACTGTCACTGTCACTGTCACTGTTACTGTTACTATTACTATTACTATTATTATTATTAGTATTAAATAGCGCTCCATGTGAACGAGTTCGTCCAGGGTAGTGAAATTGCAGGCACATGGGACTTGTCACTTTATGTCTCAGGGTGACCGACGCTGTGGCAGTTCCAGTTGTCATATTTCCAACCGTTTCTGTTTTGTCACGCAATGTAAAAGAAATTTTATTTACTTTCGATATTTTTCAATATTTTTTTACTTCGGTTTAAAGCTCTGACTGACAGTGCAACAGCTATGGACAGGCATGTCGCTTACCATCAGTCGCACGACTTGTTCGACTTTGTACATTTGTACTTGTTCTTAACCAACTTTTAAAAAAGGAGGAGGTTCTGCATTTGATTGCATTTTTCTTTGTATGTTACGTGATAGATAACTCGCGCTAATTACGCGATGATTTGTGAACCGATTTTGATGATTGTCTTTGTTGGAAAAGTCGTGGTCCTGTTTAAATTTGAAGAAAATATTCCACCGCTAAGGGTGGTAATCTAGGGATTGAATCCGGTTTCCCGCACTTTCCGGTAAGCGATTTCAATAAATTTTTTAAACTACTGCTCGTTCACTACGCCGACCTCCCAGAGAAGAACGAGCAAGAAACTCTAAGGATTGCTCTTTTCAAATAAACTTAAATGCTATAGAATACATTTTGAATCGTATTTGTGTGGAATCTAGACTCACGTTGTCTTTCCATACCTAAATCTTTATCTAATACGTAGTCTACAATTTTGTAATATGACTGTTTCAAGTAAGGTTTGAACTTAGGAAATGATAATGTTAATATACGCTCCGGAATCTTATTGTAAAAACGTATACAGTTCCCCATAAAAGAGTCGTTTACCTTGGTTAAACGAAATCGTGGTACCATGAGTTTGGACTTAGTTCTAAGGTTAATATTATTGGATATCTTCTTTATCATATGTTTTTACGGGCATACAAAATATTTGTGTAAATGTACTGTGATGCCACAGTCCTCTCCTTGAACTTTTCTCTGAGAGAAACCCAAGAACATAAACGGTACACAGAACACAGAACTTATGTAATTCCACGGACTTTTGAGGTAGGTTTTTTAATAGACATTATCATTATCGAGCTTTTCTGTTAAACGACAATGTGACCGACGAGTTTTTGATCGCGTCTATAAAATGCTTGTTCTCAACGTTTTACAACCTTAAATAACCTTCTGATTTTGAATAATCTCCAATTATGGTTTTTGGGGTGAATACATAATACTTAATATGCTACCAAGTAGGTTCCTACGTTTACTGTACGCGTTAGGAAAGAGGAAAAGAAGCGTTTCTGGTGAATAGGTGATATATCTGTGATATAAGAATAAAACATTCTTCTAGTCGATAGAAGTGGAATGTTCAGGGCGATTTAGCCCCTTTAAAGGGCCATTCAGAGTGCGACGGGTGCGGGCGTGCGGGTCTTGGCGTCTTCCCTTCCACAGTGCCGAAGCGGCTACGAGCAGGTAGATCCACACGTCGAAATTGCAAACAGACACTAGACGCTGGACCAAGCACTGTGAAAGGTAGCGGGAGCGATCCTAGTTAGTTCAATCGGTCAACTGAACTAGGTCAGTCTTAATTCCTTAGTTAGTTAGTTCGTCTTGTCCTTGCTCGAAGTTGAACGAACGCTCCAAACTAGTAATTTTATTCACATGAATTACTACGGACTTCTAGTATTATGAGGTCAAGACTACACTGTACTAAATATTTAAAAATGCAATTTGTATGGAATCTGTACTATTTGAATTTCCTTTATATTGTACAGTTTTAAAGACTGTCATTCTAACGAACTATCCTTTTT